ACCGTAAATGGTTGACTTATGTACTTTTGAATAGATGATAAAAAAATTGATTAAAAAAAATAAAAAAAAAACAAAAAGAAGAAAAAAAAAGAACCTTAGATGGTTGAATTAAATTTGTATTTTTCGCAACTAGTTAGCTGTATTATTCCGAATCAAAGGGCGAAATGGTGTTTAACACTACATTAAGAATGTTTTGAAAAAAGAACCTTACATGGTTGAGATAAATTTGTTTTTTCACACCTAGTGAGCTGTATTATTCCGAATCAAAGGGCGAAATGGTGTTTAACACTGCGTTAAGAATGTTTTGAATGATGTTTTACCATAACAATCCAAGATCTAAGTAGTATGATTCGAACCTTAAACGGTTGCCATGTTAATTTTGGAACCTTAAACGGTTGATATGTTTATTTGTTGTACTGGTAATTAAAATACTTTTTGCGTACGAGGGCGTACGAGAGCAGGAAGGCCGTGTTAGGAATGTTCAGTATTATTCAATACTTTGTCTCACCCGATAAATTTTTTGTCTCACGTGATAAATGTATCTGAGCCAGTCTGCTCGCGCTTATCTTGATAGTGTTGATAAAAACATTGGATGCCTGACCAGTTTTTGTTTGGTCTTTGCAGCGGTCAATCATCAACGTTCTGTAGTATTTTGAGCGATAATTAGTTTAATTTCGACCTCAAGTTAACATATATATATATATATATATATATATATATATATATACATGTATATATATATATATATATAGGTGAAAATTAAAGCTTCCACCTTTTGTCGGGTACTTCGACAAAATTTAAGCAAGGAGGAGTCTTTATACTTTTTTATTCTCTCTAGCTTTCAATGGTCTTTGCCATCATCATCAGGAGCTGCAATTACATTGATAATAGTAGCAACAATTGTGTAACGTGAATTTAAATTAACTTACAGTAGTATGTGAGGATGACAAAGACCATATATATATATATATATATATATATATATATATATATATAAAGTGTAACTATAATGGCGAAGTTTAGCAATATGCTACTCTAACACTTAACCACTAAAGTTAAATATTACGTTGTTAACAGTTAACACAAACCAAACGCAAAATATAAACAAATCACTTATAACCCATATGAGAAAATCGATAAACATTAAGCTAAATACGGGGGCTTTTTAGCAATATTGAATAAATGTTTATAATTATTGCAATAATAATTGTAAATGGCTAAGCATTTTTGAGAATGAGGGCATCAGTGGTGTTAATATGTGTGCTAGATGCTTATTGTTTATCCCAGAGACGAATTATTTAAACAACTGTTCTTGCCTAAGATATGGCCCTAGAACATTTTACAAAAGTGAAACGGATTTTGTTTCAAGTGTTTCAAGTTCAAAAATTAATGCAAAAAATTGTTTATTTCAAAATTGCTGATACATTTTTTTTAAAATAGCCATTTTTATAGTTATAAACATTTACCATAACTTCCTCATTTTTCAATATAGTTCAGTTTGTAATAATAAGTTGATCTGCATAGCTGGTTAAAAAATGGATATCTTAAAAACCTTCTACGACCAATAGGATTTTTGGCACAACTTGCTACAACCTTGTTGTAATTGGATTTGACGACGATGAAGAGCAGACTGCGAAAATCTACGTCTGATTTGAAAAAATGAGTTACACAAATATTGAAGGAACTAGAGCGTCCAAATATAATAAAAGAGAATCAATATTTTTTTACAATTTATTAGAGCGTATTTTGTTAAGAGTATACCAATTAACTGAATTAAGAATTGTTTTATTATATATTTTATTGTAAAATATAAATTATTTTATTAGAGTGAGAGTTAAAGTAAATGAGTATTATTAATTTATTATTATTTTATAGCAATTTAATTTTGAAGATTACAATGTCTTAAATTTTCCAGGATTTCCCGATTTTCCAAAAATGCGCCAGATGTCATTATTTTGACGAGTTGCAAAATTTAACAGCGCGCTCCGATTTGAGGACTCAGAATAAATCGAGGTAGAGATGATTCTCCCACCAACCCGGAAATAAAAGAGTACTTTGACTTTAGCTGGCTATTTCTTAAATACCTTTAAACTAATAGTGAAATTATAAATTGGATCCTAAAATCAAGATCCCTGATTGGAATCTGTAAAAATTTCTTAATGTTTATAAACAAAATAGATACGAATTAAAGATATGTATCTTGGCTCCTATTGGTCGTAGAGGTTTTTTTTAACATGCGTTTTTTAACCACTTATACAACATAATTTGTTGAAATAAATTATATTGAAAAATAATGGATTTATCGTAACTGTGTATAACTAAAAAATGGCTATTTCTTTAAGATCACTTTTGACAACAATTTTAAAATAAATAATTATTTTTTCGCATACATTCTTGAAGTTGAATCCATTTTACCTTTGTAAGCTGTTCTACGACCATGTCTTGGGCAAAAACAGTTGTTTAAATAATTCGTCTCTCGTATAAACAATTAGCTTTTTACATAAACTAATAAACCAATCCGGTTGAAATTTAGCACACATATTAACACCAACGATACCCTCATTCTCACAATTTTTAAGCCATTTACACTTGTTATTGCAATAGTTATAAACATTTATTCAATATTGCTAAAAACCCCGTATCTAGCTAAATTGTTTATCGATTTTAGTTCTTGAAAAATAGAATTGAAGGTATTATTATGCTCGCACATCTCCAGTTTACCGTTATATATGAAATTTAATTTGAGAATTATACCAGCAAAACACTGAATTTTGAGCTTTTCTCATTGTTTATAAAAAACAACGCATGCCTGGTTGTATCTTTTTATGTATTTGTCATTTAAGACTTTCAGATATCTGCCAATCTTTTTTACAGAAAAAACTATCTTTTTTCTCTATGGACAACTTATAAGTGTTATATAATAATAATAATAATAATAATAATAATAATAATAATAATAATAATAATAATAATCGTCTTTAATTACAAAGATACGGAGTGCGATTCATTATGGCGAAGTTTAGCTGAAGCTACTCTTACACTTAACCATATGAATACGAAAAAAAAAGATTCTATAGAGAGACAAAAAAATAAGTTTGCTATTACAATGTCATAATAGTATTGAAGCAGTTCAATCAAACAAGCAACTAATTTAAATGCCTACAAGCATATGTGCCCATAAACTAGCTATTATTAACAAAAATTAGACAAAGAAGAAACATTATAATGTAGAACTCTGTAAATATAGCCTAACATGCTTACGGAAACAAGACAGATTCATGGTTTTGTCATCATCAGGAATATTATTGTAGCGACTAGCAGCATTATAGGAAAATGAGCGTTGGAAAAGCGAGGCGACGTAATGGGGTGTTCTAATATTTAATGTAATATCTAAGAGTTTTGATATTTATTTCATTAGAAAACATAAGTGTTTTTCTCTTAGGTTTTTGGGTTTACCAGATGCGAGCAGCTTATGCAGGAAGACCAAATAATGAAACTTTGTCAAACACTCAAGCTTCATCCATCCAATACTGTGTAAGCATGGCTAACATGGTCGTATTTTCTTAACTACACGTGAATCTGAGGCAGTTGTTTTGAATCACTTGTAAACGTCTTTTAGTGAGCTGATCCAAGCAAGGCTGGTAAAAAATATTGCAATAAATGATAATTGGAAGAATAAGGGATTCAGCAAGTTGTTTTCGCAAAGCAGAAGGCAGAACACGTCTATTTGCATATAAAACACGTAATTTCCAATAGGATTTTTGTAATATGCTAGAAACATGACTTTTGAATCTTAAGTTAATATCTAAAATGACACCAAGTATTTTAGACTCATACTAAATTCTACTCTATCTGATCCAATTTTGGGATGCAATGTTTGGAGGATGCGCTCACGTTTAGTATTAGAGCAGAATAACATGATTTTGGATTTAGAGGAATTATTATCAAATTGTGCTTTATAGAATAGCTATAAACTACATCAATATCCTTTTGTAACCCGACGGTTGCTTGTTGATCATGTGGATCAAAATGATAGAGCAACTGGGTATCGTCTGCAAATGACTGTATTGTAGAGTTAGCTACTACAGAAGGCAAGTCTGCAATATATATTAGAAATAACAAGGGTCCCAAAACAGATCCTTGTGGAACACCAGATATGATGTTGCTAGAGTTAGAAAAAGTATTATTAATGACAACACATTGGGACCGATTAGCTAAGTATTCCGTGAAAAATGATATAGATATTTATTTATTTATTTATTCATCTTACGGCGAACCCATTATACATGTGTATTAAATAGAAAATGCACCGCAAACGTCGTGTAAGTGGGGCTACATATGTGGTAACAGTAACATATAATAGTATATAAGGCAATCAACTGAGATTAACATAATCATCTGCGCAATTTAATACAGATGTTCAAATGACGAAATGCAATAATCTAGTAATCATAAATTCAAATATTACAAGATCAAAAGACTACTCAAATGTAAACATAGACTTTGATACATTTCTAACAATATAATTACGCGAATTATACAAATCAAGCCAACTACTGTGTTCGTTACATAGTTTAGATAATCTAAAAACAGGAGAATGATTTATCAGATCTGATTTAGGTGGCATAACATGAAAATAAACATTATTACGTCTTAACATTCTTGGTGGCACATAAAATCTGAATTTTGACAATAAACTGAAATTATCAATAACGTTATTAAATAAATTATAAGCAAATAAAACATCAATCCTGTTCCTAGAAGGGGTGGTATATAGACCCACACTAATGAAAAATGACTTTGCATGAGTTTTATTACGCAAATAACTTGTTCATAAAATAACATTTAAATACTTAATACATTTTTTGACTGCAATCAAAACACCACCACCAGATTTCTTCACACTTGTAAATGAAGACCTGTCACATCTGTACACAGTAAAATTTTGGAGTTGTAATTCAGCAGTAGTAATGTCTTCATCAAGCCAAGTTTCAGTCAAACTATAATGTCATATTCATTAATAAGACATAATCTGGTTTACCTCTGATATGTTTAATTTTTAAATCCTTTTCTCCTTTGTCAGATCTATCCTTCACTTCATTTTTAAGTTTTTGCATGTGAGCTTGTTGTTTTTTTGTAAGATCACTACTGACAAAAACATTATTTTTAAAAATTTCACTACTATGATGATAAATCCAGTGTACATTATCAGAGGATTTCATAACAACTTTGACTAATCTATTCTTTCCTTCAACAAAATCACGTCCAAGTCGAAAAACTTTAAGATAATCAAGTTAAATGGAATAACAAGCTTTGTATTCTCGAGCAATTCTTTATATTCACAGAATCAGTAGCAGCTGCATTCACTGAGTCATCAAAGTTATATATAATAAAGTTCTCTCTATTCATCCTATCTTTCATTTCATCATATAAAGACTCACCAGTGACAATCTCTTCAAGTTCTGTTAGCTTGTTGCTGGAGGATTGAATATCTGACTTAATTGCACTCAATGACGCATCTACTTTGTCAAGCCTTTTCAAAATAATTTGAAATCCAGGATCTAGTCCAGCAAAATGTTCATCATGAACTTGACCACCAGTACCACAACAGTAATTATAACTTCCATCAGGCAACAACTTTGCACTGTTAACACATGACATGATAATATATAGAGCAAGATTTACATTGAACAGCATTCTTCAACAGAATAGGTCCCTTGTCAGGACACATCAGACATTTACTCATGATGATGACAATAATAAAAAAAACTGAGCTACTAGTCCTTGTATTCTCACAGAATGTATCGCAAAAAAGTGACTTCTTACGTTGGTTCGATATAAAATAAAGAAGATTTCAAGTAACTTCGTTAAGCAGATTGCATGCAGGTCTCACTTCACAGGATTGTTAACTGCACTTATTACTAATATTTGCAAGAAATTTTCAAATTTTTTGGCCTCTTTTACCACTCAAAAATATGAATTTTCAGGCAGAACCCCAAACACGACACATGTCACACTAGTGGCGTATCACACATATATATTATCAAAACCTAAATACTCCAATTTAGCAAGGAGCAGCTGATGACTCAGTTTGTCGAATGCTTTAGAGTAATCGATCGAGACCAAAATGGAGGCAATATTTTTATCTTGGGCCCGTATTCTTCGTAGACTATAAGATCGTTCTATCACAGTAGATATTATTAAAAAACAGTTGACTAAATCCATGATTTCCTTAACAGGTTTCTTACTTACGATTTGAGATTTTAACACCTCAAACACGGCGTGCTTTGCCCTTGCTCGAAATCTTCATTTTTCATTTTTGGAGTGCTTGAATGGTATACTAATTATATTATAAGCTTCGAAAATAAGATCATACATTCAATGATCCCTAGCAAACTGTGATAAACCTGACGGTTTTAACCATTTGAATACTGAAGTCCCTGTGAATTCAATGGAACCTTTATACAGTTGAAAAACGTATCTTCTATACTACACTACAACGAAGAGTAATTAACGCAAGCGATGCCGTCTGTTAAAAGCATTAGAGAGGAGAACGTGTTTCAGAGGAAGGCAGGCCGAGCATTTGCCTCAGGATAAAGGAATGTAGGTCACTAGGTATATAGCATATTTATGAATGTAGGTGATAAAATGTCATACGTGTTCGGACTAGTCGATAATTTCATTGGTTCAGCACTAGGATCTAGAACGTCTGTCGTATAAGGTGCATTCTTTTTTATGTAGGCAGTCATTTTTGGGAATACTCAATGGAATCATTTCCATATGAACTACAAGTGATCTACGAATAAACACTCCAGCGCAGCGTGACATAGTTTGAATTAGCTGTATAATTTTAGTTGGAAAGTCAAATGTTGCAGACTAACAACGAGAATAGTACTTCATGGCTACTCGGCACTAGAGAGCACCTTCACCTGCAATAATACACATACTTGAGCAGGGGATGTGCGCAGAAAGATGAGTCAGTCGAGTACAGTATGGGTTCCGACGCAATTCTGGAGTAAGCTCAGCCACTCCTATGGTGACGCTCATGTCGTTGCTCGTCATATCACGAAAGCGTTCGATCAGCTGAGGCATGCGGCACTTTTATGCAAACTTCCATCCTATGGCTTCCAGAGAAGCTTTGCAGATGGGTGGCAGACTCTTCCTCTGGCCGCAAGATGAATTGACGGGTTCTCCTCTTCATCCCACAACGTCAACGCAGGTGTTCCCCAGGAGTCGGTCTTGGCTCCGATACCATTTCTCTTTACATATCAACGACCTCCTTCCTGTATGATCAATCCAGTCTACAGTTTTGATGATGACAGCACTCTACATGCAAGAATTCACAGTGTCAAGCCGATCTCTGCCGGTGAGATGGAAAAAATAATACTAGCAGCGACTGGAGGTTACCACTGCTTGGGGACGCAACAGTCTTGTACAGGTTATGCTTCCAAAACACAGTACTGTACCTTGACAAACCAAAAGGGTCCTAGCACTTAACCGATTACAATGGATGACCAAGTTCTGCCAAAGAACCATTCAGATCTGACTTGGACACATCTCGTCGATAGCGGCAGCTGCTGGGAAAAAGCTAGGGCTAAGAAGAGCTGTCCGAATGATCGATGCCTCTTCTCTATGATGCTGCAGTGCGATGTGCCTGCCAGACTGATCCGCCTGACTTCGGCCTCCCTCCCATACTAACCGGGTTGATCTTCGTACATCCAGAATTGGCCGAAACGACCGCTCCTTTATCACTAGGGAGTCAAGATTATGTTTTTGCCCAGTTTTACTACCGTAGGCAGTTCAACAAACTTTCTTTGGGATCCTTAAAGCATCCGCGGTGCTCTGGCATTTAGGCTTCTGTGTAAAAAAACTTCGCTTTCAGTCTGTCTAGCTGCCCTATAAGTCTTTCTGGGTTAGCATAATACAAAGAAAACTCCGCTGCCTTCTATCACCTTCTTCAGTAGTTGAGGGTGATACAGGGTGGCGCGTAGGAACCAAGTGTTTATAAAATAATAATAAAATTTAGGTTTTTCTAGTTTTTACTATAAAAAATCTTTATTGGTAGCACAATATAGGTAAGAACAAAGCATTTTAAGATATTCATGAATGGAAAATAACAGCTGGCATGTGTTGACCGTTTTCATTGACGCATTGCTGAGGTCGTTCTCGAGAATTTGCCTCCGCTCTTTCCAGTAGATCTCTATTGATTAGACTAACTTGTAACGAATGAATCGCTTCTTTTAATGCATCTATCGTATGGGCTTAGTCTCGTAAAGACGCGACTTACGGTATCCCCACAAAAAACAAAGCATGTGGATAAGTCAGGAGACCTGAGAGGCCATACAATGTCACCGAACCGGAAAACAAGCATAGATGCTCTGGCGGCATGTGCCGTGGCCCCATCTTGCTGAAACCACTAATCCAGTGGCGACGCGTGACTTTTCCTAAACTGTTACCAAAACCAGATGTGGAAAATCTTATTAAAAAAAAGTTTATTTTGAACCTCCTAAATGTAAGTTAGGTATTTTATTTAAACTATTTTTATATTAAGGTAAACATTCCTGAACTGAGCGTCTGGGGCATTTGATATACCTCATCGTCTTATGCTATGACTAATCCAAGCCGTCCGAAAAAACAGTCGACGTTTCTAGATGTTCGGAAAATTTTTGATCTTTTTTGGCAATGAATGTTAACAATTCCCTGTAATTTCCTCTATTGTCAGAAGTCAGAGTCATCCCCTTCAATTTTTTTTATACTCCAACTACCACGAAGGCCTAAGGCCTAAACACCCATTGGGTACCGTGGGACTATAGGGGATACAGGGGAAAGGGGGAACGCCACACGGACTCTGGCGAGGGAACACGTGTGCATGCAACATGCACACATTCTGACTCTGCCTACGAGATCCGCCGGGTGGTACCTCCACGTTCGACAGTCAGAGACCGTCTACCACCTACGGACAATCACAACATCCATAGCCAAGAGACAAATTTCTCCTGGGACGGGACTCGAACCCGCACAGCACACGGCGACTGATCAGGAGACCGAAGAGTCTACTACTGCGGCCACCGCTGCTGCCTGAACGGTAATTCCTGTTTTGACAAACACATACGGTATCTAGGAGTGTGCTGCCTAAAAGCTTGGAAGACAGCTTTCGATTGTTGTTTTGCCAAACTGAATTAAATTGGCTACACATCTCACATGTAACGGAGAAATTTCATGTCTCCTCTTTAGAGCCCTAAAACTATTTTAATTGTTGACTCCGCTGCTGGTCCATCCATTTTTTTCTGTATAAACAGATGACATAGCTAACAATACGATCTGTTTTTTGTAACCACATAACCAAGAGTTTCCATATACCAACTTAATTTAAAATATCAAACTACGTTTTTTTATTCCTTTTTAAAATTATCTAAAATAGGTGTTGCTCTTCCATATTCAATGATCTCCTTTCTTTTCTTAAAAATTCTACTTTTCAAGCAGTTGATCGATTACCCAGCGACACTCATCCAGGTTTAATTGCACGCACACTACAACCGGTAACCAAAACGGCTACGAACGAGTGAGACGTGAGTAACCAAATCAAGAAATGGTAACAAGCCCACAAAATAGTTGCAGCGCCCCACCCACTCGGGCGACCGCGATCAGACACGAGCCGGCACCGAAGGTCCCCGACGGACTACCGAGTGTATCCATAAATGAAAATGGTAACAACCGCCAACCAAGTCAGCTTCATCGTGTTCGCAAAACCTAGACACTATAGGGCGCATTATTTCCGTGGGGCTAATTTGCTATTTACTGAATTACTATTATATATCGCTGTTGGTAAACAAATAAATGAAATTATTTCACAGTACTTAGTCATAAAATATTTATTTTTAAGATTTTTAGCTGTTACCAATGGTAACTAATCTCTTTGTAAGGCAGGTATGAAAAAGCTCTTAAAAAAAAAAAATATGGTCCAATGACGCTAAATTTTGTCACCGCGCACCAAAATGTTACCTTAGGGCTGTGCAGTGGCTTTTCATGCAATGCTCTCAGATTTTCGAATCTTCGGCGTGATTGAAGTTGTACTGCATTCACCGACTCGCCACTCCTAACAAAACAATGGTAAGTCAATACGCGTTGTTCTAACGTCCATGGCGCCATGGTTGCGACTGACAGTGAAATGACGCACACGCTTTGAGTCAAGAAATGGATTGTAACATAATGTACGCCCCTCCCTTCTCCAATGGCCACGTACTATCCGATCTAAAAACACTGGTTCCTATGCCCCACCCTGTATGAGAAGCTTACCCTTTCTCCAACACAGGACATGTAATAATGTCGATCGCTTACTATGAGTACGTGGTTTTACACATTCATTTAGAGTTGCGTGCCATAGTTCATGAAGCAGGTCACCTGGATGAGGTTCGATAACAAAAAATTCTCTTTTGGACGAACATTTTCATAGTTACCTATAGCATCCATAACCTGAACGTAATAAACGGTACGAAAGAGAGTTGCAAACGAACGCGAGGTGGATAGAGAGGTATGCCAAAAAGAATAAAATTGCTGAAAGAAAACAAAATCGACGAGGGATGATCAGAATGAAACAAGGTATGAAAGTGAGCATTTTATGGGCTAATGAGAAGGTAGGATGCA